AAGCTTATTAAAAAAAAATATTTTCAACTTTTCAGTTCGATGTTCTTTAAAAGCGTATTTTTTAGTTTTTTAAACTATATTTATACTTTCTGATTTCTATGAGACTTTGTAACAAAGCACTCGCGAAAAGGCACACGTCACACAAGGTTATTCGTTACTAAAGAGACCACCGGTATGCGGTGCCATTAGTGTATTGAATTTCCTTTGAACTCCAGAACAAAACCGGGAACATTTTTTTCAAATCACATCACGGCTGAAACTAATGCGGGCATAGAAGACCCCACACTCCTATGCGGTCCCTGTGTCATGCTTTCTTCGGTAATTTGTATTCTTGATGTCCTTTCCATGTCGCGTTCTCGCAGTATTAGGACGAACGTTTCTTTCTGCGGTAGAGAAATGCGAAGCCTTTAAGGTAACGTGTGATATATATCCCTGTATTCATTATGATTAAACCTGCAATGGGATTGTACTCTCGTAGATGTGACAAAAAAAAGATTAGTTACCGTGTAAGGAAAATACAAGGTATGTTCAAAAAATTGGGTGAATGCTCAAATTTCGCGGGCGACATTTGATTGTCGTTTTTTTAATTTTTTTATGCTGATACACAAATGTGAACAAACAGTGCATTTCTTTAATGCCCCCCTTTTATTCTTTGAACGGATCAACTCAAAAAATCTAAAATTGGGATAATGAACTTAATACATGAATACTTTATTCAGAAGTAAAATTGACAAATGAAACTTTGAAGATGTCGACTAGGCGCCATCTGGAAAAAAAATTGAATGGAAAGGGGGGTCTTGTGACACATATTTTTGAAGCTAGTGACAAATGCATCACAACCCTAGAATATAATGTCAATATTTTCAACTACTACAAAGTGGCGAAACTTTTAATGATTGAATATTACTGGAGTTTTTTCTTAACACCAAATCGTTATTTTTAACACCTCGACACGTGATTCGATCGCCAAGTGATCAATGCGAGCTAACCCTATTTATGCTATATAGGTATCCCATACAGGTAAACCATCCAGGCGTACCACCCATACAAGTATACCAACCTAAATTAATTTTACAATTTTGCCTTATCTATTATTTTACAATATATTAATTTTTCATTTGTATGTTTTCAAATCTATGGGTAATAAATGAAACTGTAAATTAATACCATTTTAATCTTTTGATTCCTCCTTTATTATAAGCATGTTATGAATAAACAAATATCTATCCATTGAATATAAAGTTTTCTCAGAAAATTAATTAAAAAAGCCTTTGAACACTTCCAGAAGAGTAAATATTATACGTTTTATAAAATATTTAGATCTGGTGGTACGCTAATATTTCTCAAAAAGTCAAGTGGTAAGCAGGTGCAAAAAGGTTGGAAACCCCTGGCCTTGGCTATACCAGTTTATCCTAGGCAAAACTAGTTTATCCTGAAATCGGGTTTGGCCGGTAAGATATATAGTGGAAAACTTTGTTTTCAGGGTCTTCATAAGATTTTGAAGAATTTCAACAAGCATGTATAAGAAAGCATCAATGAAATGCGATATCTGATATACATTTGGCACCCTTCTATAATTTCATTTCAGCAGTAAAAAATCCCTAGTCTAAGCCAGACTAATCTGTCGTGTTTCAATAATTTCGTTCTCGGCAATGAAAAATTTTCAGAATGGTTGCAAAATTTATTAGCTACTAAACCCTCAAATCTGGCGCCGCAATACATTATCGTTTATTTAATTGTCCCCTGAACGATTTCTTTCTCGTTTGGAAAAACCATTTCCTTCGTTACGTTCATTTCAATTTGTGTTTCAACGATTTCGACGAGTAAAAAAGGAAATTGATCTGCTTTCCATTTATTTGCCCTCCTTTTCTCGATATTCGCTTCAAAAAGTAACGACTAATAGGCATCGCTTAAGAAAATTAAAAAATTTCGATTCGTTTCGATATTCTTCCAAAGAAAGACGAACATTTGACAACGCTTCAGAAAAACCCAAGTGATCAATCTAAATTCCGACTAAATTGAAAAGAAAATCC